TTAATGTTATTGAACGCAGCATGGAAGAGATTTGCCGATGTTGCTGTACGATCTTTTTGCTTGGATTTTGATGGGAAAAAGACATGATTTGTTTTTAAATAAAAAAATTTGTTGTTTTCAAAAGATAAACTGAGCATTTAAAGAATAATTTAACATTGTTTACAGCGATAACAGCTCATTAGCGAAGCTTCCCTGGGAAGTTTGAATTACTAAACGAAGTACAGGACGACGAAGATAAAATATCCAAGAGTCAACACATACCAAAAATTATATCTGAAAAGTGAATATTCGTGGTGTATTTTAGGTCTAACCGGACCATAAGTGTAAATTTGTTAGTACTCTAAATATCCAAACATATTTTAGTATAAGATAGTAATTAGATTCCACCTCAATTATGATAATATGGATCACTTGGTATTTTTTTTAGCAAGCAGTCAAAAATATTTTGTTTAATTACAATGTGCTGTACATGTGTAAGCAGAATTTACATTTATGTTGCACCTGACACATTCAGTTATATGTGATCACTTAATTGTAGAATATTAGACTGATATTTAATACTTCCTATACATAAATATTTACTCATTCTGTATTGTTCATACATGTGAGCTTACAATAAACTAACTATCTGTTGTCTGATAAAGTACCTCTGTTTAAGATACATACAGTCAAATCAAAGCTAATGGGTTAGCCATTTTCAGCCAAGTTGAAATTAGCATTTGTTTAACAGTCAATATTATAAGAATATATTTGTGAGGATGCCACAAACATCAATGAAGAGAACACTACAGCCAGAGAATCAACCTTTTCACCAACAGACTTTCTTTTAAATTTCACACTTTCCCATATATCGTATACGTCAATATTTCTGGAAATAAACCCTAATTTTGGAGAAAAAAATTTGAGTCAATTTTTAATTTTCACTAAAAAAATTTGGCTATTTTTGTCGCTGTCTTCTGAAGGAAAGTACAGACTATAAACAGGACTATTTTGTGAATTTGAGATGAAAAGAAAGAACTGGTGGTGAAAAGATTAAGTATTTTCATTGATATTCAAACCAGGTTTTTGCTGTTTCACAAACTGACCACACAACAACACTTTAATTTGTGGCACAATTTCTAATATAGAAAAAATGTATTAAGCTTTAGCAGAGACTCATAACTTGCTGGTTTTGACATTGCTTTTACTCTGTGCTGTTGTTTTTTTTGCATAATTTCCTGTCAACATATTGAAATTATTATATGAACATGTGATTAAGTTATTAGTCCCCGTTCAGGCACAGCCTGAAAAGGGGACTTTATAATTCAGGTTATGTCCATTTTTCCGTCTCCAACATTTTCTCAGAAATTCTACAGCAGATATCAGTGAAACTTGGCAGGTTGATGAACAAGTCTCTACTGAGTATGCACGTAATTTTTTTTCCAGATCTGAAAATCCCAAGTGGGTCTTTTTCACGATTTTCATCAAAAATTACCTCTCCCGGCAACATTGACAGAACGTCTGCGCATGCTCAGAATAAATTAATTACTGTAAAATACTTTATTTTTGCTTGCAACATTTTTTTGCTATTTTTGCTGAAGGAATGTTTCAGTTAAAATAAAATCTAGCGAATATACCCTTTTCTTATATTTTACAGTCAACTTGTC